TATAGACCTGAACCAGCCCTAACTATAAACCTGAACCAGCTCTAACTATAAACCTGAGCCAGCTCTAACTATAAACCTGAGCCAGCCCTAACTATAAACCTGAACCAGCCCTCACTATAAACCTGAGCCAGTCCTAACTATAAACCTGAACCAGCCCTAACTATAAACCTGAGCCAGTCCTAACTATAAACCTGAACCAGCCCTAACTATAAACCTGAATCAGCCCTAACTATGAACCTGAACCAGCCCTTACTATAAACCTGAGCCAGTCCTAACTATAAACCTGAACCAGCCCTAACTATAAACCTGAATCAGCCCTAACTGTAAACCTGAACCAGCCCTAACTGTCACGATTTATGTTTTGAATTAGTTGTTTATTCTGTTTTATTGAGATGTTCTGTGTCTTGCACTTTATTTCCTGCCTTTGTCTGTCTTACCCCTGTGAGGGTCTGCCCTTCCCCTAATTAGACACTGCTGCATTCAATCACCTGCACCTCCTCAGTCTGCTTCACTTCACTTTCTACCCCTGTCTGTTCCTCTCGTGATCGTCTGCCCCGCCCTTAATTGTAACCTGCTGTGTCTAATCACCTGCACCTTCCCTGTGTATTTAAACCCTGTGTGTCCCTTGGCTCAGTGTTCGTTCTTCTTTGGTGTAACCTGGTCCGTCTTTCGTCTGCCTGCCATTGCCTCCTGGTACGTTTAGTGTCTGCTCCACGTTGCCGTGTTCCCTGTTTCTTTGGATGTTTTATTTTCATGGACTTGTGATTCACATGTTTTTGTGTTGAATACTTTTTTGTTACAATTAAACCCACAATTATCCAACCCTCCGTTTCCTGAGTCTCCCTGCATTTGGGTCCAGCCCTTTCTTTTCTGCAAAAACCTTACACTAACTATAAACCTGAGCCAGCCTTAACTATAAACCTGAGCCAGCCCTAACTATAAACCTGAGCCAGCCCTAACTATAAACCTGAGCCAGCCCTCACTATAACCTAGTTAGGGCTGGCTATAGATAAGCCAGGTTGAGCACATAGCCCTGGGGGGCTCTGGTGTTCAACACTAGAGTGGAGGAGGTTTGGCTTTCAATCCAAACTGCCTGGGAGTCTAATGACCAAATCAGAATCAGCTTTATTGGCCATGTATGCATGTGCATAGAAATATAAAGACAAGGACATTAAAGACAACAATGTCTGCAGGACAAGCTCTCCCAGCTGCACGTACCCGACTCCACCTGCAAGTGGATCACAAACTTCCTGTCTGACAGGTAGCAGCACGTGAAGCTGGGAAAACACGTCTCAGCCTCCAGGACCATCAGCACTGGTTCCCCCCAAGGCTGCATTCTTTCCCCTCTGCTCTTCTCCCTGTACACCAACAGCTGCCCCTCCAGTCACCAGTCCGTCAAGCTCCTGAAGTTTGCGGATGACACCACCCTCATTGGACTCATCTCTGGTGGGGATGAGTCCGCCTACAGGTGGGAGACTGACCATCTGGTGACCTGGTGCGGTCTGAACAACTTGGAGCTCAACGCTCTAAAGACAGTGGAGATGGTTGTGGATTTCCGGAAGAATGCAGCCCCACCAGCCCCTATCACCCTGTGTGACTCCCCTGTCGACGCTGTGGAGTCCTTCCTCTTCCTGGGCTCCATCATAACCCAGGACCTCAAGTGGGAGCTGAACATCAGCTCCATCACAAAGAAGGCTCAGCAGAGGATGTACTTCCTGAGGCAGCTGAAGAAGTTCAACCTGCCAAAGACAATGATGGTGCACTTCTACACTGCCATCATTGAGTCCATCCTCTGCTCCTCCATCACGGTCTGGTACACTGCAGCCACGGCCAAGGACAAGGGCAGACTGCAGCGCATCATTCGCTCTGCTGAGAGGGTGATTGGCTGCAATCTGCCGTCCCTCCAGGACTTGTTCACTTTAAGAACCCTGAAGCGAGCAAGAAGGATCCTAGCCGACCCCTCTCACCCTGTACATGAACTGTTCATGCCTCTTCCATCTGGCAGGAGGCTGAAGTCCATCAGGACCAAGACCTCCATCAGGACCAAGACCTCACGCCACATAAACAGCTTCTTTCCATCCGCAGTCGGGCTCATTAACAGAGCCCGGGACCCCCACTGACTCTGTCATCCCCAGGACAAATTCCCACCGGTCACTCCCCTGCATCCCTTCTATTACACTCGACACTTTTACACTACACTTACATCTCACTTGTTTATAGTCCTGTCATCTGTTCGTTGTTTATAGTCCTGATATCTGTTTGTTTGTGCACTTTATTTTATATTTCACTTTATTTTATATTTCATCTTTATTTTATATTTCATCTTTATTTTATATTTCACTTTATTTTATATCTCTCTGTAAATTTTAATATGTTTCTACTTGCACTGATTGTTGTTGATTGTTAAATGTTTGCACCTCCCGTCATGTCAAATTCCTTGTATGTTCAACATACCATGGCAATAAACGGTTCTGATTCTGACAAAGTAGAACAGATAAACTAAGCATAAACATTAACATTTAAGTACTATGTACAGTATAAATATATATCGAAGAATATATATGAGCATAAAGAACATAAAGAACAACAACAATGACAATGGACAATGGATTGGGGATATAATATAGTTGCCCTGAGTGCTACGTTTATCAGTTTCATGGAGGAGATTGTGTTGAATGCTGAGCTGAAATCAACAAACACCATTCTGATGTAGCTGTTGTTTTCAAGATATGTAAAATGTACATTTTACTTACCCAGCCATGATGTTCTTCCTCAAGCAAACTAAGTGCTTTTGTTTGAATTTACAAATGAAACCATGTGTTTACTACGACCGTAGTGGAACATCATAGTTAGATGCAGTATATAGCAAGTTGGAATGATAACGTGTTGTGTTATCACATGACCAAAGGGTTCTTACTAAGGTCACGCGATACAAATGAGTCATTTCCACAACAACTGAGCAAACACTTGCTGAAGAAGACTGTGTTTAAATGATTGGCCCTACGGTCACATTGTGTTTTTATGTTTGTAATTCTGCCCTGTTAAGCACTTTGTGACTTATGTCTGTAAAAAGCGCTTTATAAATACATTTGACTTACTTACTCTCTGTCTGTTTGTCAGTGCGTCTCAGTGGGAGGAGCTCGGTCCTGCAGGTCCAGAGAGGGGGCGCATGGAGGACAGTGTGTTCAGAAGGCTGGAACAACTGGCTGGGGATCTCTGCCTGCAAGCAGCTGGGATACTCCAGGTTTTGACTGTGGCTCAAATCCCTTGTATTCTTTTCCCCTCTTGTCTTCACACTTTCTCAGCTCTATATGCATGTTATGGTGTCATTTAAAATTCATGTTCACCCAACCCCCTTTTTGTTTAGCTTGTTGTCTTGATTTGGATTGTCCTGCACTGTTCAGATGGCCGTATGATGGTCCAACACATCTGTCCACAGCGACATATCCCAACAATTATTGTATAGCTGCATGTCAAAGTGTCTTTGGGCAAGACACTGAACCCCAAATTGCTCCCTAAGGCTGTGCCTGAGATCAGATCTTGTTGAGCAGGTGGCCCCTTCATTTATATTTGCAAACGTAGCCTTCGTAATTCTTGACCAGCGAAGAGGAAGAAAAAACGTGCAGAGAGACAAAGACCAAAAAACATGCAAAAAAAAAAAAGTAATAATAATACGACCCCACATCATTAAAATGCCAATTTGCAGGAATATTACAACAGTCTCCCAGCTGTTCATGAAATAGTCAAGTTGGGACGACATTGCGCTACAATTTGAACGTTAGGTTTGGCAAACAAAACCCAATAGTTAGTTTTAGGAAAACCTTCATGAATGCATCACCTCAAAACAACTCTTTGGGACATGCAGCGTCAAACACCTCGTGGTTGAAAGTCCTGTGTTTGTTTGACTAATGGACTCTGCATTGGCTTGTTTTTGTACTGTGCAAAAGAAAAGGACAATTCGTGTTTTTGCCTTTTGTGAGTATTTCACGCACTGCCAATGAGACCGGGCTGGAATTTATCACATGAACCCGGTGTTTGGTGGAATATGGTAATTTGCGATGCAGTTTTGTCTTGACAAATGGACATGGCAGATATGCGCAGGATTAAGGTCACAGACAACCTCCACAATTATTACAAATTACTACAGGTCCCCAGGTAATACTAGTTCTGTTAGATTTGAGCTTAAGATAGGATTTCACAACTGTGGGAAGTTATAACAGTGGGATTGTCATCAGTAAGCGTAGTTCAGTTTAACGGCTGTTCACATGAATTTGTAGGCAGCACAGAAAACTCCAGGTGTGTCCTTGATTCCTGTCCTTACCTCCTCTACTCACGTCTTAGTCCTGCCCTCGAGAGAAGTGAGTTGAGGAGGCAAGGAAGAGAAGCGAGGAGAGAGGAGTCGAGGCGACAGGCTTTTAACAAATGACACCGATGCCTGGGAGCCGTCATTTAAAGCAACGTCAAATAAATATGACATGTCACAGCTGAATCAGCATCCATTTTGTTATAGCGCTGCATTTTATGATCTTTGTCAGATGAGCATAACAGAGTTTATACTAATGCCCCTCAGACCTACATCAATGAGCCTGCTCAGCAGTACACATACTATCACAGACTCTACTACCCGCAATTCAGCTCCTAAACGGGTGTGAGGCCTGATTGTACTAGCTCTCATTCTCATGTAAAACCATGGTTGTAGCACAATCCAAGTGTTTTACTCTACTTCAAACTCAAGGTCGTTCTTATACCATATGTATTCTCTTCTTGCTGACACCACGGTCAGAACCACTGGAGATATCTGCAGGCCCGAAAGTATGGCCAGACCTCCGTATATAATGAAAAGTATCCAGACGGATCACTCAATTTTATGTTACTAACAATCAGTGGTGGGCCGTGCATTTTATAGCTGGGCCTTCAGTGCTGTCCTACTACAGTTGAACCATCTCCTAATAACCTCATTATGACGCCACAGCTACGGTTATTATTTGTTTCTAGAGGTGTAACAATACACGTATTCGTATTAAACCGTTCGGTACGAGGCTTACGAACCGGACATTACGTTTCAATAATATTAGTGCATTTGGAAAATGCAGAAGCTTAAATTGTGGGAAATATAATGTTTTCGGTGGAGCCACTGCGCTCAACATGGCAACATGCTGTCTGACACGCCCACCCCAGAACCACAACATTGTACTCTGGTGTGGCGCGTGTGTTCTGGGAGGCACACTATGCTAAACTAGCTTAGCAGGAAAATCAACAGCAGCACACAAGCTACAAACTCTCCCCGCAGCGTTTAGCTGTTCCTACTGATTCAAACAGGCTAAAGCATTCACCACACAATCCCCATTTCTCCAGACCATAATTCCTGCTTTGTTAAAGAAAACAAAACCCCAAACAGAGAATCAAATGTCCGACCCTAACATGACGGGATGCTTCGTCATTAACGGACAATGCAAATAGTCAAAATCAATGTAATTAACACAATGACAACAACAAACTCACAAGAACCAGTCACATATATTTATATGACAACAAAGCAACAAATCAATCCAGCAACACTGCAGCGCTACAACACGTATTCATCCGCACAATGAAGAGCATGAGCCATTATATTATTCACATCAGAGGGAACAATATTAACCAGATCATAATAACACCACCATAGACACATGAACACAGTAGTAACACTACTGCAGATATAAAAACACAAAAGCACTTCACTTACCAAAGCTGCTGTTCACTTAAAGATAAAGTCCATCCTCCTTTCTTTGATTACAAAGAGTTCAATGACGCGGTTGTACAGAACATCGGTGCGGTTCAGTTCCAGCCAGAGGTCCTCCTGTGAACGTGTTCGTTGAGTTGTAGATCCACTCGGGTCTCAGCTAAAGTTTTCAAAAGCACGTAGCTTGTAAGTGTCCTGTCGTGCTATGGTGTCGTGTTACTGCTTTGGTTAGCCACCTCAGGTTAGCGTAGCGTAGCTCCAAACACCAAGACGCTCAGTCGCAAATGAAACGCATTCTTGGCCATAACATGTGCAACGCTTCTCAAACGCTGTTAGCCAGAAATACCGTTCGTACAAATCGTTCCCTGGCTGGGTCAGGGCTGCTAGCTGTGGGGTTGGTCGACCCTTTCTTACGATGTCCAGCTTTTCTGGAAATGTCCTTCTCCAGAAAGGCGTTTCCAGTAACTCTGCACCAAATCCGTTTCTCCTCCTTCAGCCATTGAGTGTTAGAAAAACAAAGCTAGGTAAAAAAAAAGAATCTCCAACAAGCAAAACGTTAAAAATATCATAACTTCTAACATATCTTTCAACTTGAATTCTTACTACTACTTGCAAGCTGCTTCAGCTTCACAACAGTCACACTAGCCCACTGACCAATGACGGCACACGTTAACACTGAGTTGCACGTTAATGCTGACGTAGTTGTAGACCAGCTAACTGACACATCAAAGAACACGCCCAACATGTCAAACTAAAGATCTGATCGGTTGAACACTATGACAATCAACAACATCGTCCCCATTCACTTAAACTGCACATGGATTCACTTGTGAGTCTGCAGGCCTCTGCCTCTGTTCTTACCTAGAGACACAGAGGTGAGATCTGATTGGATAAAAGCTCTACTTAAAACAAGCTGCACTGGAAGCAGAGCAACTGAGGAAGACAGGAGCTGTGCAATGAGAACATAAGATAATGGGGAACATAATTATAATACATGTAGTGTATTTGTGAAAAATGATTAAATTATAAAATAGCTATAACTTTGTGATTCTGTTTAGGCCAGCAGAGAAGGCCTTGCATGTCCTGACGGCCCACCACTGCTAACAATATGGTAAAACATAGCAATTAACTTCTGTCAGTATTCAAAACTGAATGAGCTTCTCAAGATTCTGTCATTTCAAATGGTACCTGGACTGTACTTGTAGAGTTCTTTCTTAGTCTTCCGACCACTCAAAGCTCTTTAACACTACATGTCATCATTCACCCATTCACACACTGATGACAGGGCTACTATACAAGGTGCCACCTGCCCATCAGGACTATCTAATCATTCATACACCACAGGAACAGCCTGCAGGAGCAATTTGGGGTTAAGTGTCACATCGACATGGACTACCGGGGATCGAACTGCCGATCCTCTGTTAAAGGACGACCCTGCTCTTCCACTGAGTCACAGTCGCCCCCATTTCAAGGTTATAATACCTCACAAATGTATGTGGGGCAGCCTAAGAGGCAGCAACACATACATTCTCCGCTGTGACATCTTGTAACAGTCCCCAGGAAGTGGCCACACCCCTAGTGGAGTGATCTCTCAGGCCCTCTGGGGGTACCTGTCCTGTGACGGAGTAACCCAAGACGATAGCCTCCACTGTCCAGTTTGACACGTTTAGCTAGGCTTTGCCTGCTGTCTGTGATCCATAACAATTGAATAGAGCCCCGAAAGGTCTTTGACAGTTGATAGGAGTAATTTTAGTCAAGACTGATGCACAGACCTGCTAAATTTAGTTTTTAGCGATATACATCGTCCCACGTCTTGGAGAGGCTCTATGGGGCCCTTGACATAGCATCCAAGACTGTAACAAGTTCAGAAGAAGGATTCAGAGAGTAGTTATGAGTGTGTAACTGAGGGACAGCCTGCATAAACCGATTGGCCAGAACATGACTGCCTGGTGACTTCCCAGTGTTGAAGGCGAAAGACCCTTCTGCCGTAGGCTGTGCAGGAAGCACAGAATAACAGATATTGCAGTGAAATGGTTTATTACCCTGTTTAGCACAGCAGTGCTCAAAGACTTTTCACTTGTATGGGTAAAGAGTCCTGGTAGAGGGGGCTCTGGCATTTTAGATTGCCTCTACTGCCTCTTGAGTTAAACCCCGGCCTACTAATGCTTCTGCTCAAGGGCCAAGCAACTAACTTCTATTTTTAAGGAGCTGGATGGAGGATTTCTCCCCTCACCTGCGTCAGCAGGTCGGGGTGCAATGGCAGGGGCCATGATGTCCCTAACAAAGGGACTTCAGGTCCGCAAACCATGTTTGTGTTGGCCAATTCGGGGCCAACAGGATTACCTGTGCCCTTTCCTCCCTCACACTGTCCAGCACATGCTGCAACATGGGAAAAGAAGGTAATGCATATAGCTGACTATATAAGTACTTGTTTAGGTTTAGGCACCAGACGTTATCTCATGGGGCATGTCGTCTGGTGAAGTAAGCGTATCTTGAGGTAAAGTTGGTGTCATGTGTCCTGCAAGACTTCAGAAAGACCCTTCTCCTTTGCACTGGCATACACATTAGCAATAGATTTTGAGTTCATGTCATATAAAAATGACAGTACATAAGTAGAATATCTTTATGAGGTTCAGTAATGTTTATCAGTCCAATCTGAACATTTGAATCACACTGTAATCAGGTTATAATGTCATCATCAGCTGTACATTCTGTCTGTGTTGCTGTGTGTCCGTCAGGTACGTGGAGTCATTCTTCGTCTCTCTGACCTCCATTGAACAGGACCTTCAATACAACCTGGTGTCCATCAGCCTGAGCCAGTCACAGATCATTAAGCTCCAGAATGCCACAACCTTCAGGTAGAAAGCACATCCCCATTTGAAAGAATGGAAAACTAACAGTGCTAATGGTCAGTGACAATTGGCATCATACAAATTATTTCAAGCAACTCTGTGTGAACTGGACGTTTGTGTCGATGCTCCTCGTTTACTTTGAATTCAAGGGCTGGAATGAAGCCTTCTCCAGCTCAATCTGCAAATAACAGCTTTTATTTACTTTGGTTGGAAAGTCTGTGCAGCTTATTTATTGGTAATAGAAATGTCCAAATATTTAACGTTAATGTGTATTTCAAATTTGATTAATAATTATGATCAGTTCTAATCACCAAGAGGACCCGACTTTTACAAAGAGCTAAGGTGTACATTGTTAACACTCGTTATAGTTTCCACACCTGGCAGCGTATCTGAAGGCATTTTGTTCTGATTGGTCTCGGTATGATGAAGATGATTTATTGTTGTCTTATTACAACTATTACAACTATTATATGGAACACTACTGGGAAGCTACAGAATGTTGTAAAAACCTAAAATAAATAAATAATGAACACACTATTTTCAAACAGCATTTTTTTTCTGTTTACAAGAGACAATAATTGAGGAATGACGCCTTGGTGTGGCAGAGATCAAATAGCATGTATGCATATGACGGTAGAAATAAAGTTGACATTATCTTTTTACTGTGATTTGACCTCCACAGTGAGACTCAATGCAGCTCTGGGAAGGTGACCACTGTGAAATGTCTGGGTGAGAACATACTGAAGACTGAGTGAACCTTGTTTTAGTCATGCCTCTTATTTTCTCTGAGGATCTAAGATGGAGTCAAGAGGGGCATGGGCTGCATGTGTGTCTCTTCTATTTTGTCGTTGTTGGAGTGTATGTAGGTTTGTGTGTTGTTACTTTTGCCCGCTAAGACATAGTCTGTATTTAAAAATGTTTCATGATGTTCATATTGAACACTTTGTTAACTGAGACGCAAACAGCACATTTGTTTTTTAAGTTTAATGTAGTTTGGGACCAGTGTGTGAAGAGTGTGTTTATGTGGCTTCTAAGTATTGTTGCATGTACCAGGGTTCAACTTGTATGGATTTGTAAAGTTGAATAGTTTGGGGTCAGAACTTCTCATATTCAATACTTTCCATCAATATGTATATGCTTTAAAAGGGCACCACACCAATTTCACACATAAAGATCAGATGACTTGTCATGAGGAGCACTAGCCTGTGAAAACTGTTGTATCACTTCTGCTGCTTCAAATATGAGCAAATAACCCTAATGATGTTATCAGCACTGCATTTCTTTCATTATTTTTGAGAATATCTCTTGTTAATGGAAATGCAATATTAAATCACCGCCATACCCTAATAGATTAACCCTCTTCCTTTAAATGTTTTCCTTCAGACTTTCCCACAGTCAGGGTGATGCAAGCCTCTGATAATACCATATCATAAATCATATCATATCATGCATCATATTATCTCATATCATACCTCATATACATCATATCATATATTATATATCATATATTATATTATATATCATATCATAGACATCATACCATATCATACATCATATCATATATTCTATATCATATATTATATTATAGATCATATCATAGACATCATACCATATCATACATCATATCATATACATCATATCATATATTATATATCA